GAGAGTACCTAATCATAGTACTCGGAATGGTATAGTTAGACACACATCCTGATATGTCTGCAGCCAAGAATCAGAAAGACATCATTTTGACAAATGTGCTAATGAAAAAAAAAAGAAGTTATCTAACAGCCATAAATAATTTGAATAGTTGAAAAAACTGCTTAATGGAGCAACGAAATGAAAAAGAACGACAGAGAAAGCATTTGCATTTTTTAATCATATCACCCCATGCAAGGCAGTGAAGCCACTAAGACACAAGGAGTTACTGAGTGTGAAAAACAAATATTATTAAGGAGCGAAAACAATAGAAGAGCATTAAAGAAGACAATAGATAACATTTGACACTGCATTTCAATTTTTGAAGGTTAAAGACACTGGAATGCATGGAGCTGCAAGAGAGTTTCACAAGCGAGAAGTGCGAGAAAAGAAACAGACTAGAACTTACGGTTACATCTAACCAATTCAATTGTGAATTGATGGAACCTTGCCGCCAATCTAGTATTCCGTTTTAATTCATAATGTCTAGGTACCATAGCGAAGAGTTTACCCGAACAGTTACCATGAAAGTATTTATAGAAAAAGCACAAGCAGGCTCTATTATTGCAATGGGTAAATGAATGGAGCCGAAACGACAGGTCAGGGCCATTAGTATTGCAGATTCTTCTTTGTATTTTATCAAGAATTTCTAAATATACAACAGGAGCACCGGAACATATGTGACAGCAATATTCAAAAAATGAACGAATGGTAGACTTATAAATATGTAAGATTGATTCAAGGGAGAAAAATTGAACCAACTTCCTTAGCAGTAGACCTAGCAATCGATTCAATATATAATTTTATGTCAGATCGACAAGGAGCAACGATTCACTCTCTAATGGGAGGCAGGAAGGGTATTTATAGGTGATTAATATGAGAGAGATTTTCGAAAGAAAGCATGGTCAAAGTTTTATAAAATTTTCAGATGCTTATTCTTGTATTGCATCTACTATGTCAAAATCAGAAAAGTTTAATCCGATGGTATTGTTTTCGTTTTCCAATGTGGAGAAAATATTTTCATGCATAGAAGTTATTGGATATAACCGGTATAAAAGAACATATTATAGTAAGATTAAAATATACCTGGATGTGCGGATAGTGTTAAACATATAGGCGCTGAAAATGTAATCGGCGAGCCGAGTTCACATTTCGTATTAGTGTGTTGAGGTCACTTTCGCACAAATGGCCTAAGTAAAGCTTGAATCCATATCTTTTCACCTCCAGCTACGAATTAAATAGCATGGTGAATTGAACTGTCTAACCTTGGGTAGCGACTAATCTAAGCGTAGAGAAGGCAACGGGAACTTACTCCACTATCTTTCCCAAGAAGTTATGGCAGTTCACTGGTCATAAAGAAATCTGATATATTACTTCCTAATTTCTAAGATAAATAAATATAAATATCATTAAAACATTTCCTTTGTGTTAATGTTTTCCTGCTTCTGCCTCAGCAACAATTCTCTGCTTACCTGTAACAATAATAACCCGAAACTATTTGGGGAGGAAAGATGCTGGACTAACCGTAGGATCTGAAAAAATGGGACTAAAAATTATGATCTGGAATTTGACTGAAGGCACGTATCCAGAATCTATGATAATAATTCAGAATATACAATTAATAAATGCTAAATACTTCAAATATCTCGATGTTTGGATCACTTACAAAAACTGGTATTTGGAGATAGAAAAATTGAACATAGATTAGGCTGTGTTAGGTACTGTTTTGTCCAACGCCGCAAGATGATACAAAACCGAAAACTGAGAACTTAATTCAGGTTCTTAAATTGCCTCCTCATGGCACCCAAAACGTTCAGAAATGTTTAAACTGTCAGTTGTATACAACTGCTTCCCCGGATCAATGATTAAAAATGACTTAGAGTGAATGAACTCTGTAAATCTTAGAGAGGACTATTCCATCTTCGAATTTTGACGAAATCACAAAGAACTTAATCAAATAACAGAAACGCCGTCAGTTGAGAACTTTCAACAACAGCAACAAATAAAATGGAATAGGAAATAATGATAAAATCAATATGTTTACTTTCCACACTACTTTCCGCCTAAATATGCTGCGGCTATAGCAGACTGTAACCACTACTACCATCTCTATCAGTGGTCGGGAGGTGTAGCAGAACATTTGCGTCATTCAGAGCTGCCCGTAACCACTCCAAGAGATTCCTGGAAAATGCAAACAGCATACATGCGCAAGCAGTCCAAGTCATATTTGACAACAAAACGCTTGGATCCTGCAAATCCCAATAGAGGCAAGCCATCTCGCAATTCTAAGTAGAGGCAAACCATCAGTTTGAAATGGTTCTGAGAATATCTCATCATCATCAAATAAGGCTCAGCAATGAACTACGCCTCCATATTAGACGACAAGGGTCAGTACTTACCTGAACTTCCCCAACAAGCTTCGTGATAGCACTATCTCAGCTCGGGTAGTTTCATTTCAAGTTTTCATCAGAATTATCAAAATCGTTGACTCTACGAAAACTCCAGGACCAGATAAAATCGCCGTGGTTGTTTTTAAGAACTTTAGCCTAGAGCTCTCCTCAATCTTAGGAAATCCGTTTTAACGCAGTATAAGGGAGAAATCTTTCCCATGTCCATGGATCTTGTCAACTTTATACCCTGTTTACACGAATAGGGGTGAGAGCTCTTCACTGATACAGTATCGCCCTGTCATTTTTCTTCTTTTCATCAGCAAACTTTGTGAAGCTATCATCAGCAAGATAGTTTTTGATTACCTCAACAGAACAAATTTCGTGATCGATGAACATTATGGTTTTCGATTCTCTATGTCCACTGTCGATGTCTTTTACTTTTACTCTACTGAAGTGTAAACTCAGTAAAAGGCTGGATATCAAACATCTCGTGAGCGACCACCTTCAATATCTCGAAGGCCGTTGACAATGGGTGACACTAGGAGTTGCTACACAAACTCTCGTCGAGAGTCTTCTCGGTTATCAAGTATTTCCTATCAGGTAGGTCGTTATTAATGCCCAGTCTTTTGAAGTACACGTGATTAATACTGGCTTCGACAAAGGTTCTCTCTTTGGTCTTACCCACTTTCTCTTTTATATTAACGATCTGACTAAGATTCTCATATCTTTAGTAAAAATATATTCAGATGATACCACGCTGTATGGGTGCACCTTCAAGAAACTGAATGGCAATAGTAAAACAGTTGATCTATACGCTGAACTTGTTCTCACAGAAAAAAAAGGGGAAACTGGTATCATCCAATGCCTCCCAAATAAATTCAGTAACGTTTTATCACCACCAGTCAAATATTTGCTGAAATCCTGATGATCAGTTATATTCTTACGCATTGGGGCGGAAGCTCGTTCCAGACCTCGTGGAACACGTATATTTGTATCATTGCTAAAGATAATGGAAGAATAGTTGCTTTATCGTATCGCTCCAGAAAGTGCCTAACGCCAACTGGCATGCTCTATCCTTACAAGAGTCAGATTAAACCAAGAATGGAGTACGCCTACCATATTTGCTACTTTCTCAAAGCAAAACAACCAAAACAAACAAAATAAATCTTTATTGTTGACATCTGTATTTTATTTTTACTTTTTTATGAATACAAATGCATTATATGACGAACAGTTTTTCCATTTTTTTTATTTTTCAATCAAGAAGTTGCTATAATTTCAATATTCTTTAATCGATGTTTTTACAACTGTCACAACAAAATGCAGTACAACAGAATCAATTGTGTTAATAGACTTGATTAAATCTAAACGCTTCTAATACTATTTAATGACAGAGACCGAATGAACATATTTGTCAACATAATACAGGTAGCAATATTTTTTTAGTTTGAAAATATTTACTAAGAGCGGCTCACATTTGTACAGATTAACAACAGAATAAAGATGACAGAGCTGAATATATGTACTAAGCACAGGACTACCGTAAGGCGTCGTTCAATAGAAATTGAACTTACTATATTTGGAAAGGTCTCTACAAACTAGCTTTTTTTAAATATGATTCTACATCACATTTCATCTTGTATTTACATTATTATCTCTGCTGCTTTTGTTGATGAGTCCTTAAACAACCTTAAAACGCGACATTTTTGCCTATTTTATAATTATCCTTATTAATCACAGTAAAACACCTATCTGTACGAACCTATATAAGTATAATAAATAAAAAGTTACAAGTTGGAAACATTTAATATAATAAAAAATATTTCCCATATCAAATCATTGGAAAGACTCTTAAAAAGTAGTAAAGACAAATACAAATGTAAATAGATAGATTGACAGATGATTTAGATTAAGCAGATGCCACCTCTGGTGATATTACGAAATATTGTGGCCTCGATGAATGTGACTGACATTTCAGCTTGACTCCAAAGTCCTTATCTGGCAAAAAGCATTGCTGGAAGCAGGACTGTTACTATTTAAGCCATGGGTGAAGAGACAGATAAGTAGAGAATATGCTAATGTATGGGAGTGCGTGAAAATGTATAGAAATAAGAATTTACGCAAGGAGAGAGAGGTAAGGCTTGCGATATTATTACATAATGCTATGTATATCAGTCGCGTTAACGCCAAAGAAGAAAGAAAAACAAGACCTAATCGGACGCCATTTTTGTGAGTCCACGTTTCACTGTTTATACATTCTTCGATCGATCAAAGACGCTCTGCATATTTTCGCGCTTATCTCCAATTTTGCTGATTAAGATTCTTGTCTCATCTCAATACAAAACTGTTCTTCAGTTCAAACAGTAACTTCAAAGTAGAACGGATACTAGAACAAGCGCACATGCATATGTGCACATATATACAGATACATATTCACATATGATATTTGTTTGTATTCGTGCGATAAGTGAATAAAACAGGCGCGTATGAATGGTAGGATCGCTGATGTAAACATTCATTCCAAAAGTAAAGATCTAGAGGTATGGATAGGTAATAATCCCTTTTTAAGCTTACATATCAAAGAAAAGCATCTTTATTGTCTTTTCTCTCTTTCTCTCATCGAAAATAACATACAGATGTATAAAATCCTCTCCACACATATAGAGATAGATAGATAGAGAGAGAGAGAGAGAGAGAGAGAGAGAGAGAGAGAGAGAGAGAGAGGGGGGGGTAGAGGCGAGAGAAACGATTATAACTCCATATTCCTCAGTGAATTATATGTGTATTTATATTCAAGATATAAAATGGACGAAGGCGAATTTTCTAAACAGTTACACACACACACATATATATATATATATATATATATATATATATATATATATATATATATATGTGTGTGTGTGTGTGTGTGTGTGTGTGTGTGTGTGTGTGTGTGTGTGTTATGGGAGAGATGACCAGGTTTGATCATGGTTGTCTCAGTAATGTTTCAGATGGAGAAGGTTAAATTTATGTTTTTACCAGAATTTTTTGACGGAGTGCGGGTATCTAATGCGAATGCGTATGGAAAGTAACAGATTAAGAAACAATGATATCAAAAAATCAAATAATGTTGCTACAGATGTGTGTAAATGATAAACAGTCGGTAAACTAAAAATAAATAAATTATCTTTTATTATCTCTTAATATTAAATATCTTCTATCTTTGGTGAAAACTGGCAATTCTTTCTTTACTATAAAATATTTTATAGCTGTAATTGTTACATTATTGTTTAAATTTGTCATAACAGTAAACAGTGAAGATTTACTTTGTTCTACAGGATTTTGCATAAACTTTATTAGTTTATTAGTTTAATGGTTAACCTTTGTTTTGATACATATTGAATAAGGTGTTATAACACACTGATTCATGCATAAATTGGTGCATACATAATGACACCAACCACACAGTTATAAATAACTAGCTTAGAGATCAATGGTCATGTAGCTATATTTTCACTGAATGCACTAGAATTGTATCTCATGTGCCTGATATAGAGTGATGCGAGTTCAATCTTCACGTAATGTCTTACAACTGTGATACTTTATAGTACTGCATACTAGTGAATATATATACAGTTGAATGAAAATGCCAAGTTAAATTATGTTGTTTTAATTAACTTACTTTACAAAAATATCTCTTCTATATATATATATATATATATATATATATATATATATATATATATATATATATATGTATATATATATATATATATATATATATATATAAAATTTTATATTATTCTGTTTGGAATGACAGAAAATATATATGCCAGATATGAGCAGCCTTTTTATGCATACTGTGGGTACAAATTACTTGTATAATAGTTTTAAAATAGTTCTTCAAGTTCATAAAAAAATTTTGAGACATGGGTCATTAGATAGCAACTGCATTTCAACGGTAATATGATCTGGGAAGTTATTTTCTCACTGTAAAGGCAACTACTCTGAATGAGAAGCGGTTTTCTATCGTTTGATGGAGTATGTGCATCAAATAACAAAATAATATTAAACCTATGATTATTTGAAACCGTAAAAATTATGCTAGCAACATTTGGTCTAAATTAGCAGATTTGGATTATTATATACAATGCAATAACATTAATCAAATCAATAAATATATGTAACGTCTACATCAATGAGAAGATCAAGTCAGCGCCTTTCCAAATCAAAATCATTATAAACACATAAAATGATATCAACATAATATCCTCTGTTCCAACCTTATTTTCATTCACAATAGATTTAAGTAATGCATAAATGTTTCTATACTATACCTTTTATATTTCAAATTGGCTAAGTTGGTGGAAGTATTGTTAATACAGCGTACCAAGTAACCCAAATTTCAGTGTACCAACCAGTCATTCCCAAACAGATTTGTTTACATTGTATTCCAAAAAAAAAACTTATGAGAGAAGTTGACTGAAATGCATTATATATACTGTTTATTACTTACTTATTCAAACATAAACTACACATTCATCAACATCACATTACAACATGACCTTTGCACATGCCTGTGTCAAAGTGGAAAAACACGTAACAGGTACTGGGAAACATTTTGCATTCGTAACTTTTCAGGCTCATTGTACATGTAACTTAGATGAAAAATGTCAGATGCATTTTTGATGAAACAGTAGCGCCATTAAGTGGTGGAAGAACTGGTTCAACATGTCCCACGTTCCAACCACCCCGTTCTTTCCTCTAGGAAATATCGGAATTGAACCTCTTTCATTGCTATCCTATATTAAGGTCTACAACTAGGAAGGAGGAGAAAAAAATCTACTACGACTATTACTAATCCGAGGAGGTGTATTAGCAATTAAAATAGTTGTGTTAGTTCTAGCAAATAGGTTTAATCATAGTAATAGGTACGGAGGCAGCAGTCGCTATTCATCAGCGATTTCCCTAGTTAAATGGCGTCAAAAGTTAGTGTGTTTATCTTTCACTTATTGGCTTTACTTTCGTAAACGTTCTATCATTATCGATGATTATAGATTGGCTGTCCTACCATTTTTCTTTACTCGCCTCCACTTAATTTTTTTTCGACTTTTATTCGATGAATAATAATAATAATAATAATAATAATAATAATAATAATAATAATAATAGAGGAGTAAACTATGCGCATCTGACGCCAATCAAGAGTAAATATTGAAGTGTAAATTCAATGCTGTGATGCAGTTACTAATAATTACGTTATTATCGACCGACGGGGAATAATTTTCACATAAAAGAAGATTAATTAAACTATAGGCGTGACAAAAAAAAAAAAGAAGAAGCGAAGATGGTAAGGAGAGAAAGGATTTAGAAAATGCGAAAGAAGATACAAAAACTGAAACAAACAAAACCAGAAAAAAATAGCTGACAGTTTTAAAGGTAAAAAAGTAAATCACGTATTTTTCCACTTGCAACGATTTTGCAAATTAGCTTAATTGGCTAACGATGTGAAGATATCTTTAGTTGATGTATAATTTTTCGTTGGTTAGTGTCATCTTCGACTCAATATTCCTGTCACTTCATGACCCGTGTATCACTGGGGTTTTGTAGATATTGCTCACTAAATAGAGAATAGGGGGGATGAAAATGTGAACTACCGTTTTACTTCAAGATAAGTTATTATTGTGCATTATTTACGTTACAAAATCTCATCATAACACAACTCAGTGTTGCATTAACAGGGTAAAAATCACTGTGATCTAGTTGCCTCTTTTTAAAAAAGAGGCAACTAGATCACAAAGACCAGATAACGTATTGGATTCTGGGTTGGTAACACTCTTTAATTTATTGATGATCATTTCACACACAGCGATAAGGTTGTTCCCAATGAATATTCAGTATAAAATATTTGAATCTATAGTATTTAACATACAACTACATAAATCGATTTTAACTGGTAAAGTCACGACTGGGAAAATTAAAAACTGTTAGCCCGATGACATTCTCTATTATATGCAGATAAATCAGTTATGTGTCATGCATAATACAGGCTTAGGTAATCATGTGTCTTTCGATACATGACTGACGAGGCAGATTTTTTCTCAGGTGTAGGTTGCCATTTCTTTCTGCGGTAGACCAGTTGCCACCTGTCCTGCTATTTACCCATAGCTGGGGGGAGAAGAAGAGGATTCATACCTTTCCCAAGGATATTAGCACGTAAGTGAATGTAATGGATTCGATGGGAATTCGGACTCGGCTCTCAGATATCTCAATCCGAGCCGTTATCCATTACTCCACCGACCCTCCTCTTGCAGTTACTTGTACTAAAGCAAAATTAATTCCCATATTTAAATTAGTTGTTCAAGTAAACGGAATTCTTACATAAAATATAAACACATTCATACGCAGACATACGCACACACAAACACAAATATATATATATATATATATATATATATATATATATATATATATATATATATATATATATATATTTCGTTTAGTGTCTTTAAAATAGACACTAGTTATCAGCTACAAATTCCTGCTAATAGCAAAAATGTGATGATCTGCAATATGTCGCAAACAATGTTTTCCCTTTTCATTTGTCGCAAACAATAATATTTTCCCTTTTCAACAGTCAATATTCATGAGTGAAAGTTTTGTAAACAGCATATGGAAGTATTTCTACTGATGTTATAGATTCAGTTAAGGGTGTTATATCAATTCGATAAAATTGATTTTACTATCTTGTTTATTTATTTGCTCTGATTTAAATAATTTTGGAGCAGTTTACTAATTACAGTTCTTTTTCAATCAAAGAGTAAATCATGCATTGTTGATTTATGTAAACAAGGCCAAAATTAAATACAAGCAATGATTTAATACGGATACCAGTCAGGAATTTGTCTTGTGACTATGTAAGTGCATGATTACAATTGGTATAAATAATTTTCATATATCAGGCGGAGAGATGCATATTCTCTCTCTCTCTCTCTCTCTCTCTCTCTCTCTCTCTCCATATATATATATATGGAGGGGCTCTTATAAAAAAAGTATTGGGACTGGTGCTATAAAAAGAAAATAACAACACAATATCAATTCGGTATTTAACTCTTTCGAAGTAATCCCCTTTTGAAACCATACACTTTATCCCGAATCGTTTCCATTGATGGAAGCATTCCCGAAATTTCTTTTTTAGGATAACGAGCAGCTGCCTCATCGTATTCGCTTATATTTCCTTGGCGTCTTGAAATCTAGTTCCTTTCAAGTGGGATTTGAATTTTGGAAAGAGGTGAAAAAAATCTCAAGGGCCGAGATCTGGAGAATATGTTGAATGTCTGATACGGGAAATTTTTACTTGGTCAAAAACTGCTACACAAGCTGTACTGATTGTGCAAGTGCGTTGCCATGGTGGAGTTGCTACCCACCAGACGCCTGCAGTTCAGTACTTTCTGTCAAACAGCATCCCACAAACGCCGCAACACTTCAGGGTAGTACACCTTGTTTACAGTTTGACCAGGTGGAGCATATTCATGATGAAAAACACCCTTGTAGTCGAAGACAACTGTCAACATAGGTCTTCACATTGCTTCGACTCATTCTTGCTTTCTTCGGTTTCGGAGAGTTTAGGGGTTTCAATTAAGAAAACTGAGCCTTGTTTTCAGTGTCATTGCTATAAACCTACGATTCGTCACCTGTTTCAAAAATGTTTTCTGTGGTTTGGTGATTCGACCAAACTCTACGCACTTTTCTTCCAATGCATATTTATTTATTATGCATCTGTGTACAGTTAATTATATGAAAACTATGTTTATTCATTAGTTGGAAATATAATAATTTAAAAATTTATATGTGTACGAATATTTGTTTCCCCCGCATATAAAGAGACGGACACATGGAAAAGGACAGTGAAAGGTAAAGAATGTTTTGATTTTGTTTCATGTATACATGTATCTATATTTTGCTGAAAGAAATTATTTACGTAGGTACCACGTCGGTATAGAAATAGATATCTAATAAAATAGATATAAAGGATGTTTGTAAATAACATCCGATTTTAGAATAAACATTTTAATTGTTTTTTGATATTCCACAGTGAAGATCCGAAGGCCATAGAGGGCGCCCATCAGTAATTGATAATCAACATCTGAAAACAGTAATCGAACAAAATCTACATCAAAGTGTCAAATAAATATCTCAGATAATGGGTGTAATTATTCCAACAATATCGTACAATTCTGAAACTGGCAAGGTAATTAACTCGATCAATATGTTCCAGGTGAATTCAATGAAAGTTAAGGATTCCGATGTTTTTAAATGTGTTTGATGCTGCATCTGCGAAAGTCGAATGATCTATTGTCATGATCGAATAGTGTCTTGTGATGAGTAATGCATCTTTTAGGACAATCGTAAATGATCGTCTCAATGGCTTGATCATGACGAAGGACACAAACACTTTACAAAATTGAAATTGCAGAAAATTATGATGACTGTCAGGTGGTCCGCAATTATACATTATAATTTTCTGAAATCTAACCACAGCATCATTCTCAAAGTTTGCTGTCACCAGCTGAATGAAATGTACATTCAGTTAATAAAATACGATCGAGACTGGATAATCGACGTGTATATATATATATTTGAAGTCAACACTCAGAGACGACAGATTGTTTCATGTTAGACGCAATCATCAGGCCACATGTTTTGTTTGTTTTCTCTCGACTATTTATATATACTGGCCAGTGGGGCATTGTGGATAGACCATTCTAACGGTAATTTTGGCGGGAGTGGTTTGTTTATTTATTTTATTTTATATATTTATTTATTATTTTTGGGTTTTCGATGTTTTAGTAACGTAGTAAAAATTTGTTTTGAGATTAGTTTTGATCGTTCATTTAACATATTGTCTCTGTATTTCTTCTGCACACACACACACACACACACACACACACACACACATATATATATATATATATATATATATATATATATATATATATATATATATATATATAAGTCACATTGAGTGTACCATCATTCATCATGACTGGAGAAAACTCATGGTGTGCCCTGTGCTGGTCGTTTTTTACCATTTCTACATCTGTTATCACTTAAATATTTAATAAAAATACTGTCAAGTGTTAAATTATTAAACATGATAAATTTTTAAACTTGTCTCTGAGAAGCAATTGTTTCAGATCGTATATCTGTTTAACTATCATAAACATTTAAATTTTGTCTGAACATGAATTGTCTGAAAGTGTTCTTATATTTGAAATAAATTCATGAAACATCTATCTATCTATCTATCTGTGTGTGGGGGGGGAGAGAGAGGGGGAGAGATAGAGATAATGTGAATACTAGTCTAATAACTCGAACAATATTTACTTGTAAAATCGACCACACTAATAATTACAACCATTATAGGAAGCGTTTCAAAACTTGCTAATTTTTTATGGACACAACCTAAATATTCAATATAATATAGGGCTGCTGGGAAGAAGGCCAGCGAAATGTGTAGTAAGGGGAAATGTATTTATTTGAATATTACTCGAAATTAAGAAATCGGAATTATTCAGTAGTTTGAACCTTGCTTTTCGAAACGGCTGGCCCTAAACCAAAGAGTGCGCCTCATGCAAATTATCATCTATTTATTTATGCTAATGTTCAGATTATTAACCATTAAAACTGGCCTTTTAAACAGTCTAGGTGTCTGGAGTTCACATATAGATGCCAGAGAATTCAAAGTGAAATATCTATTTATTTACCAGAACTACAGCTTTATTTGAAACAAACATACATACAGACATTGAGGTGTAGGTATCTACATACACACAGATGGAAGCTAAATTAATTCACGTACATACATATTACATAAACACAGATACACACACACACACACATATATATATATATATATATATATATATATATATATATATATATATATATATGTATGCGTGTCTGTGTGTGGACATATTTAAATAATTTATACTTCCACTACGTATGTGCATGCATCTGAAAATGTTTAATTACACAAACACACACACACTCTCTCTCTCTCCCTCTCTCTCTCTCTATCTATCTATCTATCTATCTATCTATCTATCTATCTATCACTCTCTGTCTGTCTCGCTCCCTTTCTCTACCACGCTGTTTTCGATCAATTGGGCAATCTATCACAGAAATAGTTATGTTAAATTATATACAAATCAAAAGTAACTCCGAAGAACATGCTTGATTTCCACTATTTTTAACATAAAAACATTTTAAATTTACAATACACACACGAATCGTACAGAAAGACAATTTCAGAATATGTATATATGACATGTCATGTCACGTGTGAAACAAAATCACGTATATCTGTAAATCTTGTAAAACGCTCCGAATATTCGTGTATATATATGTGCGTGTGTGTGTAAATTACTTAACTTTAAACATCAGTTTTTTGTTGTTTTGTTCAACAAAAATTGATATTTAAAGTTAAGTAATACATATACATACTCGTTGATTGTCCAGTCTCAGTCGCATTTTATTAACTGAATTAAGTATTATTAATGCTCTATTTTTATAATTATATAATTTTATAATTTTTTTATAATTATATAATTTTAATATTTTTAATATTGAGCATTATATATAAAAATATGGGCTGTTTCTTAAATGTTATATATAGATATATATATATGTGTGTGTGTGTGTCTGTCTGTCTGTCTGTGTTTGTGTGTCTGTCTGTGTTTGTGTGTGTGCATTCAAGGACTGAAGCTTAACGAGGATTTTTTTTTTCACTTCTGTATTTAAAGAAACTTATTTTTTTGGCAAAAAAGCCCGTTTTCAACTTCTTTGTTCCTGAATATTTATGAAACGTTCTCATGGTTGAAGCAAATGAAAATTCGTAGGTGATAAATCTATTGAGTGTGTAAGATGTGGAAGAACTTTTCACTCTAACGATTTTATTTTTTCCATGGCTTCTTTCGTAGAATGTACTCTCACATTGACATGTTGGAGAATAACAGCATAACACCAATCAAATTGCTGGCAATAAATATCTAAAGTGATAATCCTTCCATGTTCCAGTAGATCGTAATAGATGACACCTTTCATATTCCAAACACAAAGTACTTCTGTAGATGGAGTCCTGCTTTTGTTGTTGAAATTCGTTTCTTATTTAATGATAAACATTGTCTTATTTATTTTCTGTTGATACTCAAAAATCATTTTTTATTACCTAAAATAATGCGATACGAAGATGAAACGTTAGCATTTCTGATAAATTAAATAATTCTATATATTGTAGAAGGTTGTGATCAGTTCATGAGGAACCCAAATTCCCTAATTCCAAATTAATCTTGACGTTGTTTCCTACCATTTAACCTTTGTTCTACCTTGGTTAATTGACACGTGTTTTTTTTATACTAACGTTCTCCCAATACAAGGTCAGAAAGTCACTCAATGTAGAGTGGTACTGTGTCGTGTTTTATAAGCATAAGAAAAGGCAAGAAGTAAAGTTCAATGTAGTATGCTTGAAAAATAACGTTTAACCCGAGATATGAAAGAAGCCAAAATTGTCGTAATTGAAAAAACATCCTGCCGGGAGTCTGTTCCACAAAGCAGCAGTTCTTGTAAATAATCTGTCCAAATAAAACTTCTTACTAATGGAATACGAAGAGAATTCATCCTTGTGCATGTGGTATGGCGGGTCCCAGCTGCATACATCAGGAACCAATGAATGTAGTCCGTCGGAGCACATGACATGGAAGTAGCAAGAGAACTGCAAGAGGCTCGCGACGTTTTGTGTGTGGAAAGGGCGTTGTAGCTAATATCGTCTTTCATTTCAAACATATTCAGGCTTACATGTCAGCATCCGATCTTACAGTCGATGAAAAGCACACTGAGCTCATAGCTGTCTCTTCACCAAGAAGGACTATGAGATCGCTATCAACTTGAAAGTAGCCACGTGAACAATAGTGACTTTGTGCCTACCTCACAGAGTGATAGAAAAGGTAGACAAACAAAACCTAAAACCAAATTCCAAAAATGTAAGAAACCATGACAATAGCATAAATTATGAAAAATAAATAAATATCGTATTAATAATCGAATTAATATAAACCAAAAGAAGCCAACTTCCATGCCGGTTAATCAATTCATACTTTCTCCTAAATTTTTTGTAAGATACGTTTTCATTTGCTTTCTTTTGTTTTTTTCTAGAAAGAAAACCAACATTTATGCAGAAATTACGTTGCTTGATCCTAGTATCGAGATTCTAGAAGATCGTTGAGGTGCGAGTTATTTATGATATCTTCGGGCGAATGGAAGTTACTTGGTAGGTTCCATCTCAAAATAGCATACGATTTGTACGTGGTTAACGACAACAGAGAGAATTCGAGATCTATTCTCTATCCAACATGGTGACATACCAATATCAAAACATTTGTCAAGATATTTATCGATCGACAAATGAACATGGAAAAATGCAGTCATATCTTTCTCAATGTTGTTAAAAATGAAAGCATGTAACCTCAACGGGAACTCAAACGTCGTTCGTGCCACATCAACTTCAGCAACCACA